GGACCGTACAGTATCGAACGGGACTGGCTTTGCTGGGAACTACCAGCCTGAGATCGCCGCAATGTACGAGAACATCGCGACCACGCCGGATAACCTACTCCTTTGGTTTCATCACGTCAACTATACGCACCTGCTGCATTCCGGTGAGACCGTCATCCAAGACTTCTACGACCAACATTATGCAGGTGCTGCGACTGCCCAGACATTTGCCACGATGTGGGAGTCTCTCAAAGGCAAAATCGACGATGAGCGCTACTACGATCAGCTGTTCCGACAGGTCTATCAAGCCGGCCATTCGCTAGTCTGGCGTGACGCCATCTCGAACTTCTACAACAACATCTCCGGCATCCCGGACGCAGCGCACAGAGTCGGCAACCATCCCTACCGTATCGAAGCCGAGAGCATGCAATTAGTTGGCTATAAGCCGTACACCGTCATCCCATTCGAAGCCGCGTCGAACTACACGGCCATCGTCACTTCCAGCAACACTACGACCGGCACGGCGCAGACTATGATTACTTGTCCCTCTGGCACGTACGATATAGCGGTCAACTACTTCGACCAGTTCGGCGGGGACTCGCACTTCGTCGTTAGCCTGAACAATGTGACGATTGGCGAATGGACTGCCAATCTGAAGCCGTGGATCGGCAGTAGCGAAGGGCCTCGGGTTCTCGGGCATACGCCGTAAGTTTTTCCCGATAGCTTTCTTGACCTTGCTATTACTGATACCGTGCAGGTCCATCTACATTGACGGTCATTCAGCGACTCGCATTACTTTCAGCAATGTGACGGTAGCGAAAGGCGACATGCTGAAGATCGTTGGCACGCCCAACGGTATCGAGCCGGCGCCACTCGATTATGTGAGCTTGCTTCCGCTCGGGATCGTTGACTAGATGCAAGGTTCACATATTACGATTAATTAAGCTGCTCTATGCAGTATGTGAGACAAAAGCAAGATTCTAAAGACGGTTTCGTGCTAGGCGCTCGTATCACCGCCCACTGTGGACGCCAGCTACAGAATATGTAACTATTTTAAAATCCTCTCTCACGCTGCCATACGCACTCGACTCCTGACATGCAGACTTGCAT